GGACACTTCACTGCCTCAGAGCCCCAAAATCTGTAACCAATGGAGAATTGGGGGGAGCAGCTTGGGGTGGGTGAGGTCATCACCTGAAGGTGCCATTGGAGAATTGGGGCCGATGTGTTCATGAGACAGAACTGATAAAAGGGGAAGATCTCGTGACTCGGGGTCCATTYTGGGTGCAGCCTCAGGAGGAGGCTTTGTCTGCCCTGAATGWACCAGCAGGCCTGGATTAAATTTGTCTGCTTTATTCTCTTCACTTTGTCTGGCCTCTGTTTCAGGTGAGCCTTGTTTTAGGCATCACTGGAACAGACTGGATCCCACTGATGGGGTAATCACCAACCAACACCCACTGCCAGGGACTGAAATGACCTTCCAGAAGGCTCAGTGTGGGTCAGRGACTGGTTTTTCCCTCTGATGATGCTTGTGTTTTAGGGAACTGGAGTTCCTTCTATTAAAATTTATTAGGATACAAATTCAAACACGCACAAATTCTATTCTCTCCTTAATTATTTCCAAAGCTATGAGGAAGATAAAAGATGACAGCAAAAAGCGATTATCGAAACCAGCACATTTAGCATTTGCTCTACATTCCTTTGCTATATTAATAAATCTATTTTGATTGTGGAAGCAACAAGAAACTGCATTARATGGTAATATTTCAGCATCCTRGGCACAACAATGATTGGTAGGTTTACTTTTATTAATAAAACTGGAATCTGTCAGTGTTCTCAATGGCCCAAAACTAATAATTGAAGTGACATATTTTTCAGATAATGCTTTTCAGGCTCTTTTAAACACAACAGACGTGGGCATGTGATGAAGATATTTCCTTTTGCAAATGGTGGGGCAGCTTTGCAGCTCCAAATGTTGAAACCAAAGCAGCATTTCAAACCCTGGGCAGTTCCTCACAGGGAGGTCTGWGACACCAGGCAGGGCAGGKCAGCTYTGAAAGGTCCAGCTGTGAGCAGAGCCCTCCTGCCCAGAATTTCTGAAGTGTTCAAAAGTCCTGTTGAACTCAGACTTTTCTGTGCTGAGCTGCAAACTAACACCTGACCAAGCACATGTGCCAGTGTTCAGCAGAGCCAGAATCTTATTTTTTTTTCTCAAGACACTTTTTTCTTCTTTTACCAAAATAAAAAGACTTCAGCAGAGTCAGAATATTTTTTTCCTTAAGAGACCTTTTTCTTCTTTTACCAAAATATGTAAAAGACATTTAGCTAATTGCCTTCTGGTTTCACTGAATGAGCAGATGATTGCTGTGTAGGAGTTGCAAGACAAAAATATGATTGTGGTGGAGGCACACAAATTCATTTTGCTTTATAGAGGACGACAGCAATGCAAAAGGGGCAAAAGCTGAAATAGCACTACTGTTATTTATGTATAAARTGTATGATAAATTTATTATTTAAATTCCTGAATGACCTGCCTGCCTGCAGTGATGAGTGAGCTGCCGTTATGCACAAGAGCAAAGCATGGATTTCCCAACAACCACTGGTAACTGGCTTTGTGCAGAACATTAAAGAAATAAACTTCYCTTCAAGAGAATCTTCTGGAGGGAGATTTTACCACCAAAGGGGCCCAACTCAGCTTTGCAGTTGTTGGGCAGGGAAGGAGCAGCTGCAGAGCCTTTACCTGGCTGTGTTGTTGTGCAGGTGGAAGGGCCCCTGCTTGGGGAGCTGCAGCAGAAGGTGGAGGAGGCAGAGCTGCTCAAGGTGGAGCTGCAGATGCTGGAGACTGAGAGGGTCCGGCTGTCCCTGGTGGAGGAGAAGCTCATGGATGTTCTGCAGCTTCTCCAACAGCTCCGAGACCTGGTACGGTGAGAAAGCGGTCCTGAAATTGAAAACTGGGTTTTGTAGGGTCCTTTCCAAACTAAAAAGGGCTCATCCCTTCTGTTAAGCACAGAACCCTTTACAGCAGGACAGGATTTTCCATGGGATTGCCCTGGGAAGTGCCTGGAATTGCAGAAAGCTTTCCYMCCCCTTGGACTGGCTTTCTCAAAGYCTGGAGATCTCAGAGCTGAGTCTTCTAGCTTGTTATCCTTTAATTGAAAATTTAGGGCAAATGAGGAAAACAACCAAGTAAGTAATCAGGAAGATTCCAGAATATATATTTTTCCTTCTAGAACAGTCCCTTTGTTTAACTGTATCCTAAKGGAACTCTGAATCAGCATTAAAGGGATAAAACCCCATCCTACATACAAATAATTTTCTTTTTTGTAAGAAGTTTCTTACCCATTTCAGAATCCAAATTTGAACTTTGSAAAACCATGCAATAACATTCCAGCTGTATTAGATCGTGGTTGCAGCAAGAAACTGCATTAAATGGTAATATTTCAGAATCCTGGGCACAATAATGATTAGTAGGTTTACTTTTATTAATAAACCTGGAATCTGTCAGTGCTCTCAATGGTCTAAAATTAACAATTGAAGTGACAGATTTTTCAGATGATGCTTTTCAGGCTGTACTGCCAGTACAGCAGTTGAGTCCTTTGGAAGAGAATTTTAAATCTGCTTGGGACTGACAGTGGAAAAGACTCAGTAAAACACAGGGAAATTGGGTAAACTGCAGGGCATGGAGTAGGTTGGGAGCCRCTCCACACTGCTAAGAATTAGTTTTTTTGATCATCAGTTTTCAAACCTAGTCTGTGAGATGAAAATGCTCCCTCAGTGATCGCTTTGCTTTGCTTGAAGCACACCCACGATCCACTGATGAGCAAGTGCAGTCTGGCATGGTTTCCTCACTCATTGTAGCACTTGAGGTGGAAATTCTGCTTTCACACTGCGAGTCTGCCACGTGCATCAACAGCAATCCCGTGGAGGATTAAAATGAGAAACTTGTGACTGGCAGCAAACCTGACAACTCTTTGTGTCAGGACTCCAGCATGTCCTTCCCTGGCCAGCTGTAATGTCACAAACCAGCCCTGCCTGGGACAGAGCCCCTCGCACGAGGGGTGACATCTCAGTGATGACAGCGCTTTGTCACACTGGGGAGGTGCCACCAGCACGGGCTGCAGCTCCCCCAGCACCCACCACACAGGATGGTGCTGACACCCCAAAAGAGGCAGTAAATGAACCCCACAGAGGGTGTCTGTAGGGCAGGGATGTGTTCATTGCAGCGCTGGAGGTGAGGGGGAGCTCTGCACCCAACGCACCCACCTTTGCCAAGTGTCGTGGTTTATTTATACAATAAATATTGCTTGATATTTCTCTGTCAGCATAGCATCATCACGTCCATGTCCAGAACTAATCTACATAAAGTTACCTCATATAATAATATATATAATATATATAATTATAAATAATTTTTTCTGTCCTGCATTTGTGCTGCCCCAATTTAGGTGGTCCTGAGGGTCTTCTTCGATGAAGGCTCAAGGTCTCCCTCGCATCCAAACATGCCAATTTTTCCTTCGGAGCACATGCAGTTACAATGTTCCTTGGACTTTCTGGATCTAACCGGGCTAAATTCTTCATCTCGTGGCTAATTTGCTTTACATTTGCTAATTTCTCATTAGTACACCTTGCTGTTTCCCAGTTAGCTATACTTACCTATTTTAATTAGCTATACTTACCTATTTTTTGAGGTTTTCCACCTGGTGAGTTTTTGCTTACTTAACCATTAGGCAACCAGTGCCATTTGCAGTTGTTCAGGGACACACTCTGGAAAATTCTTTATTTTTCACTGAATAATTTCTCTTTCCACAGCCCTATTGAGGAATTACAACCCTCTACAAACTGCTGTTAGAGCAGGGTCTGAGATAAAATTGAAAAACAAAATTGCTTGAAAATAAAGCAAAAATCGAGTTTTGTGTTGATCAGGGTCCTGCATCATTTTGGTTTAGCTTTCAAGTGTAAATACCCTGCATACGGTTTTGCTGCCTGTCTGTAAACTGGTGAAGGACATATTTGTGCCCTAATATTGTTTTGTTTTTTTGAAGAACATATCTAAGCGAGCCCTGGGGAAAATCCTGCTGAGCACTTTGGAMTCCTGCCGTGACCCCCAGCCTGGTAAGGAAATAAATCACATATCAAGACCAAGAAACATGGAAATTGTTCTTTTGGGACAAACACTGGATAGCACACTGATTAGCAGGAAAAGGATTTTTCAAATCCTGGGGTAGGCTAGGGAGAAGGAGGCAGTTTGCAAGGTTACCTATAGAAAGTGATGCTTTCTAGTCTGTGACACAGCAAAACAGGTGCATTTTTAAGCATCCAGGTGCTTTTTAAGCCAAATTTCAATTAAAATTTGGCCTTGGAGGGTAATTCAGTATCCTACAGATGTTCATACAAATGTTCATTGATACAAGAATGAAGGAATACAAGAATACAGGAATGCAAAAGGGGAGAAAGCTGAAATAGCTCTGCTGGTATTTCAGTATAAAATATATAATAAATGTAGTATTTAAATTCCTGAATCACCTGCCTGTCTCCAGTGATGAGTGTGCTGCCATCATGCACAAGAGCAAAGCATGGATTTCCTAACAACCACTGATATCTCCCTTTATGAAGTGATAAAGGAAAGTGGTAAAATGACCACGTGTGTCTGGCTGTGTTCCTCAGGTTCACTCTCTGCTGTGTTGTAGCACAAGATTCACACCCCAGAACAGCTCTGGATGAAACCAGATCAGACCTGCACCCCTCCAATACCAGCACTTCATGTTCCCAGTGTGAAAATTAATCCTGCAAAGCCCTGTCCCCTGACAGCACTCTGGGGTGTGCAGGAGTCGCATCCTTTGTGGGGTCACAGCCCCAGGGCTTTGTTTGATGGGTTTGTTCCTGCTGCAGAGGATTTGTGCTCACCTCCAAGCAATGAACCCTGTCCCAGGGACACAGCCTGGAGGTGCTTTAATTGCCAGGCAGAGTCAAAGACAAGGTTAGAACAGAGCAGATGTGGCCTGGGGGCTGTTTTGAAGAGTGTTATTTACAGGGATTTAGGGAGAACTGCATGGACACCTTCTGGGATCTGCAGGGGTAGAGCCTGCTTTTCCTGGTGCCCAGCAATCCAGGGCCAGGCTGTGCCCTTCAACTGCAGAGGGACAGAGAAAACAGGGGGRMAAAACCCTTTGTAGGCAGCAGGAGAAAGCCAACACAGAGAAGAACCATACCTGAGCCATGGGTGGGATGTTCTCCTGGGGGGAACAGGAGAGGAGCCTGTTTGTGTCCACAACACTCCGTGTCCACAAGGTTCTGGACAGACCCTGCATGGGAACAGGGGCTCCAAGGGATGCTGCTGCTCAGAGTTCCTCCCTTTGCAACCCTRAAACTCCATCAAGTGCTGCTGGCTGTGCACCTGGTGGGAGGGAAGCAGTTTCCCCAACTTTTTGGAAATCAAAGTTCTTTGACAAGTCTGAGTGGATGGTTGGGTTGCATGTGGGGTATGAAATGTCTTTGTTCACACAAGGAAGGATGTGACCTCAGCGGGTAGGGAATTATGCAAAGGGAACTAACAGAGAAGACAGGTGAACCTGGTTTCACTCACATTTTTTTATGGACARGAATTCATTATTTGGCCCCAAAATTTAGGYGTTTATGATAAACTCAGAATGGTACTTATGAAGAAATGAGCGGGTTGTGATGGTGGTACTGCAGCTTGCTGCCTCTCTCCTGATGCTCACATTCTCAATTGTCTCTCCAGGCAAGGCACAGCTGTTTGAGGTGCTGGACACGCTGCAGCAGGAGCTGGCTGCCTGTGAGCTGCTGCACCAGCAGCCCC